CCCCAAAACCCCAAAACCCCAAAACCCCAAAACCCCAAAACCCCAAAACCCCTATGGGCAGGAAGGAGATTGACAGTTTAGAGGAATTTGTTCAGTGGCGACTTTTTGGAAGCGATGAATCTACTGGTGGAGTAGTTCTTGGAGGAAGGAGTGGGGAGGTTGAACTTGGAAGGGAGGGTGTCTTTGGGGGAGGAGATGTGGGAGTTGGGGGAGATGAGGGCTGGAGGGACGAAATCAGTGGGGTTGTGGTAATTGTGAAGCATGCTTTTGTTACGTTTGGTGTCGTAGATGTCGTATGATTCGACACTTTTTCGAAGTTTGTTGAGGTATTTACTGATGAAGTGGCTGTTGAGTTGGGAAGCATTTAGATTTGACCTTTTACGGCCATTTCCTGCGTTTTTGGATGAAAAATTCATTGAAGAATGGAGGCTTAACTCATCTTGTTCTTGATTTTGTGAGATAAATTTTCTCAAACTTTCTTTCATATGATCATTTATTTCCCTCAAATCAGCTATTGTTTTGTTCAAATTAATGACTTCCTTTTGATAATCAGCTGATTTTCATTTTTCTGCTATCAAAGTGTCCTTTAGTTTATGGAACTTTGAAATATGAACATAGTGACTAGAGTCGGCTGGGTTTGTACTTCTCCTCTTTTTAACCAGTTGATCTAAAAAGGTTTTTCTAAAGAGTTATTCAATGCTTACTTGTCTTTTTCTACCTTTCGAGCAACTGTCTTTGAATAATCAAATAAATTAATTTCTGTTTCAAGATCAACAACTTTATCCTCAAGCTGCTTAACTTTACCTCTAAGAATATCATTTTCAACCCTAAGATCCTGTAAATACGAAATTTCTTCCTTTAACTCCCCAATCTTAACCTCCTTATCACTCACCACTTGAGACAAATGATGAGTAACATTCTCCGAATTGCACAAACTAATTTTATTTCACTAAGCTATCAACCACCTTCAGGTTGCCGTCTGCCTTCCTAACCTCCTTAAAAACATCTGTTCCTTCTTGAATTGCCTTATCTATCAAATCCAGCTGGTCATGAAGGACCTGGTCTTCCTCCTCGCTCCTGTACACTAAGAGGTAAGTGACTGCCTTACAGATTTTATAGGAAGGGGAGTTGGATTCGTTAGGTTTTGAAGAGAGATTTAGAGGGGATTTTGGGGGATTTTGAAGGTTTAGGATTGATTTTGGATGGGTGGTGGTCTCAGTGTTGACTGAGAAGAAGTCTTTTGGGGGTAGATCTTTATGTCTTGTTTTGTTAGAAATAACTGCAGAAATTACTCAGGAAATGTACCGATGTTCAGCGGGCTCTGGCTGTTCAGCAGCGGATGGCTATCTGTCATTTTCAATTATTATATATACAAGAGGGGTTTTGGGGTTTTGGGGTTTTGGGGTTTTGGGG